GTAGATAGGAGCGTCGTAGGGGGCAGTGGCGCAGCTTCGTGTTCCCGTCCCCGTGTGGCGCCTCCCGTCAGCGTTTGCTGAGGGGTGTCTGAGCCACGGGGCGGTAAAAGGGAAGGGATCGGGGCAGCGGTACCCCGCGCTCCGCTGCGGTGGTTCGTCGGGACGCCCGAAAGGAGCGGAGACAACAGGTGGGCACTGCCGTGTAAGCCCTAATCACATATCCCAGTTCAAGCCGTGCGCCCCCTCTCAGAGGCTATGGTTTTGCCTAAAAAGCTGCAGCTGGTTTGAAAGGAATACATTTTTCTTGGGAGAGTTGTTTGGCTTTTTGGTTTTTCGTTTTTGTTTTGGTTTTTTTTTTTTTATTATTATTTTTCTAGATTTGTGTGATTTCCACATAGCAGTAATGGCCCTGGGGTAGTAGTGTTATAATGTTTGTTTTGCTATGGAGAATGTTGTCAAGGGTTAAAGAGTTACGACCTAGGTAATTCCAAGAATTTGTATTTACCTGTGACTGAAACCTGTTTCCCTCCACTCCCTTCCTATGGAGATGTTGGCATGTACACTGGCAGTAAAATGAAAGCATTACTGATCAGACTTGTTTTTTCCTTCCTCACTGAATATGGTGCTAAAACAATGGTATTAACACTTAAAAGGCATAATCTTGTGAATTATAAAGACCTGTAGTGATAAAAGCTTTAGCTTTAAAGGAAATCTGACTATGTTGTACAATGCTGGAGGTTTATCAGTTATACTGATAAACCACAGTGTCTGGATGTCTCTCACAAAGTTTAGTTTGATTCCTCTACGCTTCCTTCAGGGGCTGGTGGGCTTTGGGCTAATTTCAGCTTAGAACCACTTTTGGTAAGAGTAAAATGTTACATCTGATGAGTCTCTTAATTGTGTGCAATAATAAGTGTTCAAGAAGAAAAGGGGGGAGGAACAAAACAATTGGTTTGAAATAATACTTCATTTAAAAAAATAATTTTTAACAAACTTGTTACTCAACTAATGTTTCCGTTTCTCTTGATGAGGTATTTGAAAAGATGTTGTTTCTAAAGATGATGTACATGTATGTTTGATATCATTCTTTGACGTTAATGCTCCAAAGGGGATGCCTGAAACCTGTCTCGTAACATTTGCTGACATTCACAAATCTGTTGTTTGTCAGCTGTTCTTGACTTTGAAGGACATGAACTTCCTTTGTGTCCCGATCTGTTCTGAAATTGGGTTCCTCAGCTGTCATCTTGTTGTTAAGGCATTCTTGCTTCTTGGGTTTGTGGTGCTGTTGTTCTGAGTGCACTTGAAGGGGGCCTGCAAAAACCGCTGGATAACGAACGGTAGTACCAGATGTGCATAAGTGAACTAAGACCAAGGCAAATCCAGTTGTGTTTTCTGGAGGTAGATACTGTTTTGGTCAGTAATTAAGCAACTCATCAAGTTGCTTATCTGACAGTATCTCTTTCTGGGACAAAGGAAATGTACTCTTTAAAATCATTAGATGGTTTATTTGTCAATGCAGCAGTTAGATTCCATTGTATAAAAGTAAGGATGTATGAAATGGAAGTTACAGCTGAAAATGCAAAATCAGATTATAAAAAATTAATACTCTGACATGATACTTAAAGGAAGATAGTGCAAGCTATTCTGTATACTTAGCTTAAAGGATTAAAAAAAAGTGATTGAAATATGCCCCAAAGTTGGTTTCTATGCAAAAGCCTAAGATGTCTCTGAGCTCCTAACATGCAGCGTTTTGCTGAAACAAGATGCATTCTGCATGTGACCTAGGTCAGTGGTAGCCTGCGTCATCACTGATCCTAAGCATTATAGCTGTGACAGACCTTATTTTTTCATGCTGCATTGCAAGTCATCTTAAGCTTTTGACTAAACCCCTGTCCTGCCTCAAGCCAGAGCAAGAAATACAAATTACAGTTCTTCCTGTCAGCAGTCAGAGGACATAACATTCAGATGGTAATTTTTGCAGGAAATGTGTTTTCTGTTTAAGTCAGAGAATAGTTTTAGATGCCTAGTTATGGTTAAATAATAGGATGTTACGTATAAGGAAGATGGAACAATGGCAAATATGGTACGTGTAATAATATAACTGAAATGACCACAAAAGAATTAAAACAATTGGACAACCTGGAAACAAAAGAAAAAATAGGCTGTTGAATTTTATAACTAAAGAACTAATCTCAGGTATGTAGAAATCAGCATTTTTTTATATCCTCAAGTCATTTAAAGGTGTCCGTGCGCACTGGGGAAGTGGTAGTGAAAACTGTATTCAGATTGTGAATGATAAGCATTTGACAGGTCTGATAAGATACCAGGAAAATATGTTTATGCTTATATATCACATCAGGAACTGAGAACAATATGTATCAGAGATGTTCCAACACACAGTAAATAAGCTAAATATATTGAAATACAGATCTTCAAAGAATTCAGTGTTTGGAAATGGATTGGGTGAAGTCATTTGCCCAGCCCCCAGTTGAAAGTTAATTTCATTTTTTAAACTTCCATGTTAACAGAAAGGCTTTTACGGAAAATGAACCATTTAAAGCATTTTTTGGTCAGTTTTCTTGCAGAAGTTCACACTTTCTAAGCTGCATCATGCAAAAGCAGAAAATGGAGTGTAGTGCTTTATTTAGACAGGGGTTTTCATTTATTTGATGAAGTGGCCAAAGACAGAGGGATGGAAGAGCAAGCAGAAATTAATGTGTCTTTACCGCAGGGGAGAGAGGAATGAAAAGAGAAGGGAAAAAGGGAATCAAACCCTATCCTTTCCTGCTACGACCCCCCATTCCGCTGACCCTTGTCCATGGAGCGCCTGTCTGCCCTCTGACGAGTGGTGGTGCCAATACAGTGTTTCAAGAGCAGCAGAAATAGAGGAGACAAAGACAGCACCAGCAATTGCTTCTAAGGGTTCTACAAGGGACTCAGAGTAAAAGTTTCAACAGGGAAAGCCAAGCATACGGGCCTCATCAGTCCTGTTGCTCGGGTGTCTGTGGTCGAGTTTATAGTGAGACTCGTGCACTGGTAGCCATGTCCAGTAGGAAACTAAATGTGTCCCACCCTGTTTTCTGGCCCTGGGGCCAACTGGCATGTAGTGAGCTGCATCCATGCTACTGAACCCTGCAAAACAGGGTGGCTGCTGCCAAACTCCCGGTGGGGAAGAGTGCCTCAGGGGGTTCCCAGAATCTGGGGTTTGCTTGGTGGCTAACAGCATCAGTGGTTCAGTGCCAATGCCTGGGAATAGGCCATGGCACGTTTCATTCCACAGGCATAACATGTGCCTGCCCCCTGTGTCTTTCTAGCAAAGGCATGAATCCTGCTAAGGCAGTAAGCAGTTATACTGGAGTGTCTATTTAAGACTAAGTATTTACAAGTTTCTGTTGTTTTGTTTGTTTGCTTGGTTTTTTTTAATTAACCTTTTTTTTCCCCTCCAGATTGTGGATCTGATTAGTTATGCAGGTAGTTAACCCAGAAGCAAGAAAAGCCAGATCAGGACAGGGGGTGGTATGTGTGTGTGTGTGTGTGTGTGTGTGTGTGTTATTCATAAGAGCATACCCTAGATCACAAGTAAGAACAGCAAGTGCTAACTGCCTCATTGTTTTCTACAAAGGACTATTTTAATATTTCTAATTGCACCAAGCCCCCAAAAGTTACCATCCCATCTATATGTGCTTTCACCTTGCACCCTGTTTTTTTATAACAACAAGAAAACCCTGTCAAAGTACAGTTCAGATGTGTCCTGTACGTAATCTAGTAGTCAGGGGTAGACTAAAGATTTAAACAATGCCTGGTTTGCTTTTCAGCAGAGGATTTCTCTCAGTGCTACTAGGGAAGAAAATTGCTTTGAAATTGCTGAAGTGAGCAGTTAGTCCCTCCTGGTTCTCTGCTTGTCCCACGCTTCTCTCAATAGGCTTGTATTGCTTGTATCTCCTGCAAAGAATGTGCACAGTTAGCTGCTGAAAGACATTTAAAGGAAGGTCCACATTCAGCATGTGACCAGTGCATAAGAGAATTAATCATGTATTCAAAACATATATTCTCTCTCCTCCTTCCCTCTTTAATCCTATCTAATGGTTAACAGGTGTAGGTCAGTAGTGGTGACTACAGCGTGGTTAATGAGAAGGCTCCATTGCGTAGTGGAGTACTCTTGCTCTGTGGAGGTGTTTCTTTCTCACCACTGACTGTGCAGGGTGCGCATACTCTTGGCTCTTGGTACAGTCTTAAAAGTTTCACGAGAACCATCCAAGCTAATACTGCAGTAACATGCTTGTGTTAACTACTTTCCCGCACACCAAGCACCTTTTTCCCAAAGCATTTCTTTGTCAATTGTTTAATGAAGAATGTTGATGATTAATTCCTGATCTGTCAGTCATTTGCAAACACTTCTTGTAAGAGTTTTAGAGCTAAATCACATTTTTGTTTGTTAGGTTTTACTGCATGTATAAATCACATCGTGCAGCTTGAGTTTGCTTACTGCTTACATGCAGTTCCCAGGCCTTCTAGTATTACTATTTGTGTGCCTATGAGCACGTAATGTAATTTTCTATGAAAGTCTTTAACATTTACATATTTTCCAATGGTTTTGTGGCTTAAGCCAGTAATCTAATTTTCTTGAATATTTGCCAGAATATTTGTGAACAACAATAAAAAAGAAACAAAAATATAGCTGATGCAAATTTGTTGGTTTGGTTAATTTAAACTAATATTTTTGACAGTTCCTTGAACTTTTTTTAGTCCTAGAAACTAGCAACTTACTTGTAAAGGACAAAAGCCCCAATGGCGGCAAACACTGCCAACAAACCAAGGAAGATAAAGACACCTTCTGTTGTTCCTGATGATGATCCTAGAAGTCAGAAAGTAGTTTGATTAAAAGTTAGCCTCATTTTTACAGTGAGATAGCTTTTCTAAAGAGAACATCATTTTTACTTGATTGCTGTACAGATTGAAGTACACTTAATACTTCTAGTATGCTAAGCATTGGAGGTTGGTGACTTTGGCAGGAGGTGGTGCTTTCACATCCTAATCGGTTTAATTCTCGGTTCCACCAGAGTGTGAGTTGGGCTTTGCCAGTTTTCTCATATGAGCCACGCTCCTGAGACACATGGCTGCCCTTCCAGCATGGAAGGGAACGGCGGGTCTCGCTGGCACCTCATGATGTGAGGCTAATTTGTTCCCTGCCAATTGCTATGCTGGGGAAACGTTTACACTGAGAGTATAAGAGATGCAGTCTCTTTATAAGCTTCAATGTTAGAATCAGCTTCGGCTTTCTCTTAGGGATGATGGCCGGGGGTGAGGGGATAAAAATAGAGTTTCTTAAATGTTATTTTTTGTTGCAGTCCCACATGCTAAGATGGTAGAGTGTGGCTGAGAGCTTGATGGACTTAGGCTTCTTTGCCTTATCCAAGAGCTGAGGGCTCTGCTGTTTTAACGTGCTGCTTCTGGGAAATAAACTTCGGGCTCTGCCTGTCATTGAACTCTGCCTTCTGGTTTGCTGTCAACCATTTCATTCACATCTACTCCTCATTCCATCATATCTGATGGAAGAAGCCAAATCATTACTTTTTTTTTGTGTATGTGTGTTAAAAATCTTAATTTTCCAGTCCACAGGCTATACCTTTATTGAGTTTACTGACACTGAGACACATTCTTGGTCCTCAGATATAAACAATCCTTCAGGTATAAACAACAGTGTTAATACAATGAAGTAACCTAGAGGTTCATGTTGGCTTACCTTTCCAGTTATTAATTTATAATTGATATCTCAATTTTCATAGACAGCAAATCAGGATTTCTCATTTACTTGGTACATGTGCCTCATTTCTGTTTGTTGATACTATTGTCTGTGAAGGCTCGACCTCATTCGTAGTTTACACAATATTTTTGCTGAGACTTTAGGGATTTACCTTATTTTATGAATAAGGTAGGTCCTTAGACTAGTTTGCAAAGCAACACATACAATGGGACGTGTCTACATCACAGGACTGCAACCCATTCAACAGCAGTTTAAGCAAGTTAAGAGCGGGTGTTTTCTGCAATGCCTGTGTAACCCAGGCACAGTCCTGCCAGATTTCAAGGGCCAGATGTTTAGGCACCAGATACTCGGGCACCAAATTATGGGATTTTCAGAAATTCATAAATACTTACCTTCTCTTGAAATAAGTGGAAAATTGTGGCACATGAGGAATGTTTGCAAACATTAGATGGGCTCCTCCAGAAAGTGACTCAAAGCAGCAACCTTTCTTAGATCCTAATTCTGCTTTGATTATAGTGGAAGCCCCGAAGTACAACTTAGCTGTGCCCTCTGGAGGAAACCGAGGGAGACCAGCCTTGAGCTAAAGTTAGCCTCAGTGAATACAGTTTTGAAAAATCCTACTGCATCCTTATTTTCGTCTTTAGGAGCCAGAATGCACTTACAGGTCAGGCATTGTGCCTTAGTCATCATGAACTGATTTAGGTACAGCTAAATTTATACCTAGGTTAAATAAAATCAGCCAAAAATAATGTGGCAAATGACCGCAAAGGTCAGTGGCTTGGCAGATATTTATTAAGAGATATAATTAAAGAGTTCAGAAGAGTCACTAGGACATTGTAGTGGGAGGTCAGGAGGGCAATGGAGTGGGACAAGGGAGACAGCATGATCATTTAGACTTCTGGCTGAGGCTGAGTTTAATACCTGGTTCTGTCAGAGACTCCTTGGATAACCATGACCAAGACACAGTGATAGTCATCTCACCAAAGGTAAATCTACCGTTCTGAGGTAGTCACCCTGGGCACACTCTGTAGTCAATGAATGTTACACAGACCTTTCCAGAACCTGATTTATCTTGTCCGCATGTAGAAATAGAAACCTGGTCAAGGTCAATGGGTTACACCCATTGTCTCATGCGAGAGGTCAATGGGTCACATGTCTCACGTGAGCTGAATTCCTCTCTGTTTCTCCTATTTCTCCATGTGTGGAGTAGGCTGGCTGGCATGTTCCCCACCTGCCTTTCTGCCTGACAGAGTTATTCTGTGAAAAAAACCAACGTTATGGCTTAAGAACTGTTCATATTCTGTGAACTGAATACTGTGAACTGAGTACTGTGAACCGAAACTGAAGGTTTTGTACAATTACTGTACCCATTGGATCAAGAACATAAATCAAACCAAGTTCTAACATCTAAAATTCCTGTAGCTCTTTATCTTTGCATGGACTCTCACACAAGCTGGCGCAGCCTCAGCTGAGGCCTCTGGGCATAATAAAAACCCCATACAAATTCCTGTGCTCTTACCTCCTGCAGGGATATAACTACAGAGAGAAACTATTTAGACAACCTACATCTGCTCTGTGTGGACTCACCGCCATTTACGGAAATCAGTGCGCTGGCAAGGGCTTGGCTTGTGTCATCCCCCAAGGTGATGTTTATACAGTATGTTCCAGGTTCCTCAAAAGCTCTTCTGATGGTGAGTAAACATTCATCGGTGACGGTGATGGGGTCGCACACCACACTCTTGGACACCTGGCACGTGGGGTCAGAAACTACTGTGCAGACGTCTGTGGGGAGGCTGGAGTGGGAAGAGAAAACGCATTGCATTTGTGGAGTCCTGTTAGCCCAGCTCATAGACACATTGCACTGATGCCCTAGTTTTATGCTGGCGCCTCTTTACTGAAATCAGTGGCACTATAGTGATTTCAGAGTGGTTTATTAATACGTTACATATATTTTATACGTAACTATCCATTTTATATATATATATGTGGATTTTGTATAAAGTGCATGTATACAATCTATAAAATTTTCTGTTTGTTTGACATATCATTTAACATTTTATGGTGATCACAGAACTACCTGCCTCAAATCAGCTTATAAAGTCTGTTACCTTTAATACTCATCATTAAGAAAGGAATGTAGATTCTTAAATGTACCATCATGTACCGGAAAAGTAAACACTAACTTAGAGAGGTTAATTCTTTTCCGGTTGCATTACAAATATGATTCCTGTACTTCTCTGTCCTCTCAACTCTCTAATCCCCTTCTAGGATCTAGGAATATTAGCGAAATGTTTTCCTATCCAAGAAATTGCTTGGACACGCCCATTTACTCTAAGTGTCAAAAATCATGGCCAAAAGGAAAGGGTTTCCTTCCAATTTCAGTAGACTGCTTCCCATCTTACAGTAAGTGCTGAAATCTTGTCTTGGCCAGGAAAATATAGAATTGTTTCTCCCCACTATCTAGTTCTCATATTTTTACTGAGACTTGACATTTGTTCTGAGTCCTAAGAGCCTGGCTGTAACCTCTGTTGACATAGTTTACAAATGAGACTTGCATTATTGTTAGTTCCAGTCAAGAAATAGAAACACTGCAGTTCCCAACTTTTGTTCATGCAGCTGCATCTAAGTGCAGACAGCATTCCAGCACCTAATTATTTTTAAAGAGGGAAGATTGACAGTTTCATTCACACGCTTACCTCCCTTGGCAGGTAATGACAAAGTCAACCAGTGAGTTTTCAGCTTGACTTTCTGTCGTCTGGATGCTCGTCATCTGAATAATATTTACCTCAAGGATTCCCTCTGGGAGAGGAAACAGATGTCAACAGTAGGACACATGACAAGGTCTGAAGTCTGTGTGTAGAGAACCTCAAGTGTTTGGCTGATGCTCAGTTCAGGTCTTGTTTTCCATAACCTCCTCCCTCCCTTAGCAGTTGTCTTGAAGGGTTTGAAAGCTGAGAAATTTTCCAGTGCTTTCCCTATGAGGCTGCTCTTTTCTGCTCTGCTTTATTTTCCCATTATCATTTTTTACTTATTTGTATTACTAAATCACTTCCCTGTCCCACTACCTATGACTTCTGTGCGCAGCCAGGTCAATTCAACCTTACGCGACACGTACCACTCTCACCCCCCAGGCCAGTATGCTTCAGGTGTGGCAGGTTCAGAAGCTGATGATCTAGAAAGTAGTGTCAGGACGCACATCCCCACCAGCTATTTCCCAGCCCAAGTGTCTGGAAACGCCACATGTAGCATGGGGGCAGCCATCAGCAGCCATCCAGACCAAGGCCCAACCTCACATGTGTGAAACCAATGGACCATAACCTCTGCCGCTAGGTCCTGACAGAGCACATAAAGAAACCAAAGTCAGCCAGTTAGCTGTCTGTACATTAATCTTTAAAAATGTCAGCTAGGTCCAAGAGAAGGATCTTATTGTGGGTCTCGTGTATTTGATAAAAGGGAGCCTAAATAAAAGTTGTCGCTACCATACATTGTTGTACATCATTAGCCCCATTCCTCAGTTCAGGTGTTGACCCACATTCTTACCTACAATAGAGATACCAGTTCTATAGTATCCATCTCTGTAAATATGGCAGCCTCCATCAGGATTATCTTCCATTGACTCGACAGTGGTAGAAAAGTCTGAATTGGAAGATGCTCCGGTCGTTACTGTTGAGTTGAGGGAGAAAGGACAGATACGCAGCTTTAGAACAAGTTCTGTTTAGAGGTATTCTGAACACTGCCATGTGTTTCAAACGCATTCATTACATAGGTCATTAGTGACTTTGGTTTGCAGCTGTGCAGTCATGTACGTATCTGTACAGGATCATGGTAATAAGCCTTAAAGAAAACACACATGCCCAGCTGTAGAACTCTGGAGCTGTCTGGGTCACCTCATTCTACAAGCCACCTTGCTAGTCACCCATCTCTGTGAAACAGAAGTGAGACTGCAAGGTTTGATATAATTAAACACTTATTTAAAATTCCCAAATCGATTATAGAAGAAATCCAAAGGCAAATAAAAGTTTTAAAATGCTCTCTTTAAAAGCAGGTATTTTCCCATTGCTCTACATTACAGCTAGTGGAAAAATGAAGAGGGGAAGTGGTAAAAATTATATCTTTCCTTTCCTTTTTCATTGTCACTCAATATTTTGGTAAAAGCGCATATTAAAATTCTGAAATTTGAAAAATATAGCCACATTTACAATTTAATAGTAGCAGTATTATAAGTACCCAGGCTGAAACTGCAGGCCTTTTGCAAAGCTTAAAACTCTCTGAGATGATAAACCAATGCTGAACATAATGGAAGTTATTCTGAAATATGATAGTACATAAATTTAAAGTGGAAAAGCCATTCTGGGTTAATGCCATGTGGAAATCCCATATTTTGGAATATAAGTTAAATTTTTTCTAGTTCAATCCAATCTCATTTAATTTTGGGTGGAAGTTAATGCAAACCAGAAAGGAACTGTCTATACAAAAGTGTTCTGAAATACCTCTTTCTCACTTAAAATTTACATCTTGCCTCAGAAGATAACCATGAATAGGCAAGGCTAAAACCACTTGACCTGGCATGGTAGAGGGTATGAAAACAAATTTATATGTACTGCACGTCCACCTGAAGACCTCTATGTGCTGTCACTGTGGTGATAGAACTGGATGTGTAATGTGCTCAGTGTGTAAGTGATGCCTACCACAGAATCATAGAAGAATTTATGCTTTTTGACACTGTCTCTAAACCAATTCATAGAGGGCTTGCAGAGCCTTGTAGCTCTTTCATTGATGACAGTACAACTTCTAAAGATGTGAACTTAAAATATCAGAATTTAGAGTTTTACCACAGCTGCTAATGTCACTGCTGTTCGATAAACTTACCTGCTGAGGTCGGCAGCGGGGCAGTGGGTGTTACTGGCCTGCAAGGTACAGGTATGATGGCTTGGACAGTTAAATTCAGAGTAAAGTTTCCTTGCAGAGTATAGGTGTGAGATGTCGTAGAACTGCTGACTACAAATAAGCCACTTCCATCTCCAAAGTTCCACTTGTAGGAGATGGCAGAATTATTAAGGTAGTAGCTGGGATCATGGATCTTCACATCAAACGTGATTGGTGAGTCTTTGATAAAAATGGAGTCTGAGATGTTGCGGTCATGTTTTTGGAACATACTCACAAATATTGGAATTTTGTCTGGAGGGGAAAAAAAAACAAAGTAGTAAATAAATAAAGCATACGTACCTGGCTGCAAACAACAAACAGCTCCAAAGTCCCTGGACTGCAGCAGTTGGAATATGAGACATTAATGTCTTTAACACGGGTTTCTACTTTAATTTGATTTACTGATCTGAGGAGTGAATGTCAGTAGGAAACAGTTACCCAGAAAAGTATGGGAACAAATGAGGAATCACAGACATCTGTGCAAGATTGCATTTCCTCTTGTAAATACTTTTTCATTACAAAGTAGAGGTATCACAACTGAGCTAGATACAAAGGTAAATTACACGACTGGCAATTTACCAGAGATTCCAATTCATATTAAAAACCTTTCTCTGACCAATGTCTTCTTTTCGTGCCAGATGATGCTTGTGCTGAATTCTTTTAACACCTAAACAACAAATACCCCCAGTATTTTATTACAGTTTATTCCAGCACGCTCACCTGTTACAACGTAAACGGCACTTGCTCTTGCAATTGGAACGTATGCTGAGTGCCCTCTCCTGTAAATGGATACCGCCATCACGTGTTTGCCCAGAGTGATATTTGCTGTGTTCACTGAAAACACTGCTGAAGATCTTCCAGTTGTTTGGTAGTACTGACCTGAAACAGAACATGAACTTACAATATGTTTTGCCCTTCAGACTAGCTTCGTGTTGTTTTAAGAAAAGCTGTGTCTCTGTGAATCTTGGATTGTCTAAATCAAAATGAATAGTTTAGAATTGTCTTTCAGTTACCTGTCAGGTGTTTTTGGAGGACTGAAAACTTTTACAATGTGTTTACTCCCATTATTTCTGTTTTTTTCAAAGGTGTCAGAAAGATGTCCCAAATTTCTCTAATCTAAGAAAAATTTGCTTGGGCATCTACATCTTTCCAAAGCAACTACTTTACATTAATTCATTAGGATTATGTAGTGGATGGTATTACCTCTCAGGCATTTTAAATGATCTTGCACTTGTATGCTTTCAGTGTAGCAAGGAGATATACCACCTCTTACTTCATACCCTAGAGCCCTTTGTATTACGCTTGCTTATTTGTCTTTGTAACAGCTGATTGAGGTAGGTAAATAGTATCACCTCTACCTAAAATTTGGCACATTATTATTATTATTACTCAGGCTGATACTGATGATAATACTGATTTAGCCGAGCTAACTTAGGATACTAAGATTTAGTATGTAGACAACGCCAGCAATAGCCCGACCGTTACATACCCAGGAGCTGGAAACCACTGAAAATTAGCATCTGTGACCAGATCAGTACCACACAGTCAGTGGCAGTTTTCACGTCCCCAGAGGCAAGAAGTGCTACACCGTTAAACTGATCGGAGGATATACAGCACTGTGGTCTCTCTTAAATTTAAGAATCTGAAGTGGCAGTGAGCACTCAACAAATCATCTGACTGACCTGCTCGGACACTCTGTTTTCCTAGAAAAGGATCCTGAGTACTACTGAAAGGAAATTAATTTTCTTCAGTGGTAGTACTGTGAATGCAAATTTAAAGAGAGTCTCCTGGTAATCCATGATTTCCAGACTGAGCAGCTGATGGCCTCTCTGGAAAGCCGGGAATGAATTTGTGATCTCCGCTCAAGAGAGTGGAATCCTTTTTAAAGGACTTTTCAATAAAACACACTGAACAAATAAGTTCATGTACAGAGTGAATATAAGCTTTGCAGCGTCAGCCAAACCAAGGGATGTGTTGCAGTACTAACCAAATGTGTGAAACACGTAGACAAAGTTTCTTCTCCTCCAGCCAGGATAATGAGGGAAAGGTCTCCCATCTGGGAATACGTTATGGCTGTGGTTGCTTGTGCAGTTTTCCCAGCCACAGCTGTCGATCCATTCAGTCCAGTTGTAGACATAGACTTGCTGATCCTGGGAAGTTGGAGGGTCTAAGTGTAGAAACAGGACATGTTCTGGGTCAACTGAGAAATGCGCAGAAAGTCAGGAAACAGGAGGCAGACACTCCATGTGCCAGCAGTTATTGCACTTCAACAGCAGGTTAAAAGTAGGGTATTTTTAGACTGACAGATTTTTCTAAGATTGCGCTTTGTTTGGTTTTTAATGTAAACAGCAAATTGTTCTGGCTTGGCATTGTTTTATTTAGAGCTTAAAAATATTTTACTGTCTCATGGGCCAGATGCAATTTAAAATTGCTTACCCAGAACTTGCTGTCAACTACACAGGGTGCTACTGTATCACTGGAGTTAGTGGGGTTACCTGAACATTTGGCAAGCGGAATCTAAAATTTTCAGTAGAAATAGCAGCCGTGAAGGCCCTGTGGGGAAGTGACTTTCTTTTGTCAGAAAAGTTTTCTATGGTACCTTTAAATAACTTCAACAGGAATTTCAGTTCCTTTCTGAATAATATAAAAAGACAGTTTCCTTCCCTAAACAGCACAACAGATGTTAAGTAGAGAATGGATATCAGCAGTTAACACAACATTAGACAGTCAAAAAGTAGAACTCAGACTGACAAAAAATTTGCTGATAGGCCTTGAAATGAAAATTGCTATGATCAGTAAAAAAATTTGTTGAACATTTATGAATTCAGAGGAAGAAAGGTACAACAGCCTCTTTCACTCTAGATCCAGCAGCTTCAAACATTGGAATTATGATAGGTTTTTTGTTCCGTGTAATAGTAAATAAGATGAAAAAGGTGATTGTCTGAAAAGATTGCTTGATTTTTAAATGATTTATTTTCTTGTTTGTTTTTAGTTATTAAAATGTGAGAATGTGAGATTTACTCTTTCTCAAGGGTTTTTCAAGGTGCAGATGGTAGTTAGTGAGTTCTACAATTCCTAATTGGGAAAAAAAAATCTCAGTTTTATAAATTGGCAGCTTTATAAATTTGGAAGAAAACAGTGTGACTCTGCAACCTTGTGACTGAGCTGGAAAGCAGTAACAGTTTTGCTAGGAAGCCAAATTAACATCACTGGTTTTGGGAAGGCAATTTTATAGCAAAGGCATATCTTAAATTACGTGGTCATTATATATAGCGGCTGCAAAACAGTAAAAATACCACAGTGATCTTCTGAGGAAAGAAACTGGTGTGCCACAGGTTACACATGAGCGTAGTTATCAATTAAAAGCAATATGGCTGTTGTTCATAGGATGCACTTCTGATGTTTTCAAAGATTCGTGACATGTTCACACCAGTGCCATAGTCAGATGCGCGCGTATAGCGCAGGGAGATTGCCGTTACTTACCCTGGGTACAGTTCCTCTCGTATATTATGTTGCCATCGCTATCTTCTTTCTGGCACTTGGGAAACTGGAGAGTCACAACAAAGGTCACGTTGGATCCTACCAGTGCTGGGCTATCAGTGTCCAATTTGGCTGTCACCCTTCCGCCTGTAGAAAAGAAAATTGGTCTTCACTGCAGTAAAGGATGCATCAGAGCAGCAGCTGCCTCCAACTGTGCACTGTTTGCATGAGAAATGCCTTATTGAGTCTTCTGTTTCCAAGGGGGTTTGTGCTTTGAAGTCACTTGGACTCCTATCAAAACCCCAGCTTAGAACAATAATATGCTGCTGCATCACTACTGGTCTGTCATTCATTTCCTTCTTAGAGCTAAGAATATGGTTGGGTTTTGTTTGTTGTTGGTGTTTTTTGTTTGTTTTTTTTTTTTCTCATGGGGGTCAATATGTTCCAAAGGAGAATATTTTTGTTTCTCCCCAGGGATACGGCCTTTAGACCTCAGCTCAGACCAGGTGACAATAAACAGGGTCTTCACTGAAGTTGTCAAACTGAAGCCCACAATGCCCAACTGAGGTAGTAGTTGAAGCTACTGTCTTCTAGGGCATGTTTCAAATAATGGATTGTCCTAGAGCCCTGGCCATCAATACTTCTTAATAAGTATTAATGTCTGAGACTATGAGTCATGGGAAAGCATTTACTGTAACAACTCACTTTTCTGCTCCCTCAGACAATGTAGTGAGAATGGTATCAAAGCCAGTCATCCCTGATTTGCTATTCATTGCAGCAGTGGTGGATATTGGACCTATGAAAAAGCACTATAGCACCAGCACACTGCAATGAGGTGGATTTTTTTGCCAATTTTCTCAGTGTCTTTGGATTACATATGTGCGATTACCTTTCCAGCAGTCCTTCCATCTGGGATCTCCTTCTTCCCAGAAAGGATAAAGCTTTTCATTCCATTTATTTTGATCACTAGACCAGCCTTGTAGCTTCTTATAGGATGTGACAGGAGAAGTTCTTCCATGGCTCAGCACATCTTGAAACCCTAGAGAGAAAAACAAACATGCAATGCAATAGCATTTTCCCTACCACCCTATAAAGACATTGCTGTTGTGTTGAACAGCCTTCTTAATACGACTATATTCTTGTACTGATTCAAAAACTCTTCACCCGTAGAAAGTTATGGAGTTTTATCATCGCAGCTGTAAACAGTTCCATCAACTATAACCAACATATAGATAATTCTACCACTGACAGACTGACATTTTTCTGTGCATGAGTGGATGTAACCCTGCAACAAACAGGCTGGTCGTACAGAGGTTGCTTGATTGCTGACTGCTTTGTGCTTGCCTGGTAGTAAATCTACGAGTAAAAGGCTGACAGGATAAATTCACTCTGTGTCTGAGTTGTGCTCCAGAGGGAGTTATGCCAGGAATTAATTTTGACCCAGTGAAGCTTCTTTGGTGAGTTGGCTGGTGGTTTGGGTGGGAGGGGTGGAACCAATTGTAACAGAAGCTGGTATTTCCAGAAAAGGAAATTTAGAGCTGAATAGTAAATTCAATGTGTTTATAATATAACAACAAAAACATATTAGCTTCATGCCTATTACTTTAAAATGGCTCAGATACTAAATAATTTTAATAACCTTTTTCTTCTCATATTACTACAAATGACGGGCTCAAACTTTTCCCAGGCCTTCTAGGATCCCTGTTTCTGTCCCAAAGTACACATAATGAAAAGCAAAGTAAATATCCAAGTAACCTGTAGGAGCATGTCAACCACTGTAGGATGCCATAAAAATATGTTCGTAAGTAGGCTCATAGGCAGAGTTCCATTAAAGCCCGGGGGCTTTAAACAACTCTGTCATGTTAATCAGGTAACTGCTGGGTGTGTCACAACATCAAGGGAGTTAGGATTTCTTCTGCTTTTCATGGCTTTATTTTAAAGGTAGCTGATGCTGAATGCTTCTGAGATTTATACTGAAGTGCAACAAAGAGCTGGATGTTTTTAAGAAAAATGCAGAGACCTGTAAGGAGGGCAGGAATGGCCCTGTGCACTGTAACGTGTTGGAATTCCTGCGGGTTTTGGAAAAGGCACACAGCAGGTGTAGCCAGTCTAAGCATGATCTTTATGGGCATGTGACTCCTAATTTTACTGCAAGGGAGAACCAGAGAAACAGCACTGAAGAAGAGGCAGGAGCTGCTTTCTCTTGATGTTTTATTGCCAAGTGAGATTGCTGCTGGGCAGGAAGGACATCCCTTGGCCAGTGCCATCTCAATGGTCTCTCTGAACTGATGCTGGTAGCTCTCTCCCCAGTCTCTTGAGTCTTGAGGACTGAAAGGTTTGAGGAAAAGAACAGATTTTGCACTGAGGCATATTCTCCCACGGTCTTTTGCCCTACAGGAACTCCCCACAGTCTCACTTAAATCGCTTGAATCAAGTCTTTCCTGCAGATTTAATATATTTTGATGTGAGCAAAGCATAACATCATGACCGGTATTTATTTAATGGCCTGTATCACATGCTGTATTGTTTTCAGTCTTGGCCAGAAGAAGAGTTGGGTAATGTTCTTCAGAAACTTTTCTTGGGAAAAAAACAGATTAGTAACTATAAAAGTATTTCACAAAGGCTTATCAAGTTCAATTACATTTTATGTCAAGAAATTAATGTGTTATCCTATTTGAAAGTAAGTGGCTAGGGATTTTTCCTAATTTCTTTTCCCCATTCTCTTTCATTTTATCTAAAAACTATTTAGTGAATAAAAATGTTTTGATTTTGTCAGATCAAAACATTTCAATCATTGTTTTTTTTTTCCCAAATGTTCAATTCATCAAAAAGAGCTGGAACACTTCTAATTTTTATAAATGCTTTTAATTTTGAATTTTCAATAACAATCCTTGAATTCAGAAGTAATTTTCTTGTTCAGTTTTGGTAATAACTGTGGTCACTGCTTCTAAATCACAAGCTCCTTAGGCATTTCTGTGCCTCCCTGATGTGCTTTGTTTATTCCAATCAAACATAAAACATTTCACAAGCTTCAGGACAAGACAAAGACATTTTTTCAGACGAGCAAAGACTTCAGCACTAGTTTCTCTAACACATGGAACTGAAGATTTTCAGTTGCTGAATTTAAAGGAGCAAAAAGCTTTAATGCATTTCTTCTTTAACAATGAAAAACACTCAAGAACAGATGTTGGTCATAACCAAAATTAGAGCAATTCAGTTCAAAATAGAGTAACATTACACTCCAAGAAAAGTAGTAGTTTTGGTGAGGTGATCATAGGAGAAAAGATCTTATACTCTGATTGACTTTCTCCTTTCACATTCTGGTTTTCATTTTGGTGAAAAATGTAGCAAAAGCAAGAAGTTCAGCATTTCCTGTGATAGTGTGTTAGTCATGAAAAATAGAATGAAATTCAGTGTTAAAACAACAGCAATAAAAAGATGACCCAGCTAAAGATGATAAAGTGCATTAGAAGTAAAAAGGCTGACGTTATGACCAAGCTAAGAAGACAGAAAATAATGTAAACTTTCTAAAGTTACATATAGAAACATAATAAAGCAGGCAAAAAAGAACTTGAGGAACAACTTGCTAAAACATAAAAACTACTAATTAATCCTTTTTTCAAATACAAAAGTAATGGAAAGCTTACCGGAAAGTCTGTAGGGGCAAAAGATGATGTAGATACAAAAGAAGCATTCAGGGTAGATAAACGGATAGCACAAAAGTCAAATGTGTTAAGTTTACATTTTCATTCACAAAGGAGGAGCATGAGAGGTTTCTGTGCTAAAATTTTTCTTTACAACAATGGAGAATCTCTCTCAAAATGAAGTGTTAGAACAAAATATTATAGAATAAATCAACAAAATGAAGAAGTTGTCTAGATGGGATGGCTCAAAAAGTATGGAAGTTATTCAAGAGTGAAATAAATGAGCTGTTAACCATAGCATGTAACATCTTGCTTCAGTGGCTGAGAAACAAAAGTTGGCAAATGTGATGACAGTTTTTAAAAACACTTCCAGGGAAGAGTTGGAGGATTACAAAAAGTTTGAGGCTCAAATTGGAGAAGCTGGTAGGAGCAGCAGTGAAGAACAGAATTAGCAGATATAGTCGACTTATATGATATGCCGTAAAAGGAGTGCGTTCCTCACAAATATATTTGAGTTTTGCTGAGGGAGCCAGAGAGCATGGGAACAAGGCTGACCTGCTTTTACAGTCTGCTTGAGTTCCAGACAGCATTTGATGAGCTCCCTCGCTAAAGGCACATAAAGGAACTAAGTTACTGTGGAATAAGAAGGAAGGATTTCACATGAATAAATAATTGGTTAGGATATATGAACCAAAAGTTATGAACAAGGGGCCAGTTTTCTCAATTGTTGAAATAATTTAAAATGTTTGTAATCTGGAAAATAGGTAAACAGTAAAGTTCTTTAATCTGCTGAAGACAGTGTCTTACAGTAGTAGAGGAGAGGACTATATGACAGTGACTCAAGAATAAAACTATAGAAAATTCAGCATAGTTAAATGTAACTTTACTTGCAGAACAAGTGGCTCTAAACTAGCTGTCGCCACTCAGAAATGAGATCTCATAGCTTTACAGTTTTGAATGCAGTGCTCATTGGTAGTTGAAAAACTAGGAAAAGGCTAGATGGAGAATGAAGATGAACATGTCATTACAGCATTGTATACTTCCACGTGTGTTCATGTCTTGGGTACTGTATGCTGCTCTGTTCTCTGCAGCTCATGCAGGTTATAAGAGAACTGAAAAAATACAGAGAAAGGTGGCGAGGATGCTACAAAGGGATAGACTTGTTTCCATATGAGGAACGGCTATATCGACTGTGTCTTGAGCCTGGAGAAGATGTGGCAGAAGAGAATATAAAAACAGAATCAGGAACAGCATGGAGGAAGAAGCAATTTGTCACTATTTGTGAAAGTGCAGAAGTTAAGGAGAATCAAATTAAGCCAGCAGGTTACAGGTTCTAAGCACGTAAAAGGTATTTCTTAATGTAAGGCACAGTTAAGGTGTGAAATTTCTTGCTGGCAGGATGTTGTGTGTGCCAAGAATTTGCACGGGTTGCAATGAAAACCCAAGTGCATGAACAGATGGAAGAAAAGTCCAGTAAAAACTGTTAAATACAATGACGCTGCATCTGACAGAGGCAGTTCTGGTGCTATAAATCATCAGAGGCTGGGAAAGTCTCCTGGGTAAATACCAGTATACAGTTGCCCAGTTATATTTCCATACTGTTCCCCATTGGAGACAGGTACAAGGCTAGATGGATGCTCAGCTAGCCCTCCGCTTTTAACGTCTTCAGTTTCCCTACTGTAGATTCTGGATTTTGAGCCTAAAATCCCATTTCTGGGTTCCCAGCCCTGAGCTTAGGGAGTCAACCTAAGACTTGAGCGAAGCTGGGAGCCCGGAAAGCAGCAGAGGACCAGCCCAGTGCCTGCCTACAGTGGCTTGAGGATCTAATTCCTCGACTGGGCTCCCTGAGGCTGGGGATCCACAGGTCTGGGTGTCCCAGCAGGGAGCGCTGCCTCTGGCTTGGCCTCTCCCCACCACAGCTGAGCTGAGCAAACTGGGAGAAGTCCATTCTGCATCTGCCTTTTTAGCCATGCTTGAGCTGGGGAAATACAGTTAGAAATTTGTCAAAATGAGCCAAGGCTTAGCCCTGCTCAGCTCTGTGTATCTGTGGAGCGCAGGAAATAGGTAACTGAGCAGCCCTTGGCGTATTTCTCCAGTTCAGATGACATTTCTACCCAGAGCCAGGCAACCCTGAGGTGGAGCAAGCTGTCGCCTACCGGTTCCCCAGTACAGCTCCAGCAACTGCTGCACGTGCAACGAGCAGCCGTTTTTACTGCACTGGCTCGGGATGTCGAACCCGCGGCGGCAGGGAGAGAGGAGGGGGTGAAGGAAGCACTCACGTGTGGCGGCAGCACAAAGCACCGCTTCAGCCAGGAGCAGGAATCCGACGTGGCGGCGAACACCGCTCATGGTGCTGGAGACCCTCTGTGTGGAGGAGCAGAGAGTGCCCAGTGCCTGCACACGGTAACTCCTCCGGTCCCCACTGAGAAGTGAGAATGAAGTTTCTCCGCTGCTCTGCTCTCCGATTAAATGAAGGGCCCCAGGACTCATCATGTGATGGAATTAAGCAGAGATGCATGATTTTGTCTTCAGCTTCTTTCGGCTCATGTGCTTATGACTCACTCCCTTTGCTTTCAGCTTTCCCTGGGATTTCTGAGAGACCTGTTTAGAGCCACACCATTTACCTTGCAGGCATTTTTATACTAGTTTTGCACTATGATCAATTTTTGTACTTAATTTGTTTTTAAATTAGGAACATTTATTTCCAGAAATCCAAATTAACTCTTGCCCCAGCCTGATTTGCAAGTGCTACTGCAACAGCTCACTGTGTTTGATGGACCCATCACTGCTTAACCATGTGTCTCTCCCAACATGCTGGGCAAGTGCTGTAAACCAAATGGAGACTGGCCAATTCTAACACATCCCTGGACTTGGCTCCTGATCAGAGTTGATTGTTAAGGAAAACGCTATTTAAACATTTAGTGGGCACATGCGTGTACCGTCCGACCATGATTGTACAATACGATGTGCCCATGGTTAGAGGTGCAATCACAGACCATATGTAGTGATGGCCACTCAACATCTAGCTCGCAAGTTGGGTGACCTACACACAGGCAAGTACTTCATTGTATATACTTCATGGTGTGTAGAGATAGAGGAAAAACAGACTTTGCTGCCCAACCTAATAATGAGGTATAACCAATGGCTCATTAGGAGTAGAGCAATACAGGCAGATTGGCAAACACTCCACTTAGTGGTTCAAATTCAGGTTCAAGGTGCTTCACCAGCCCAGGTGTTCCTCCGCAGGCAGTGCAGCAACTGAAGTTCATTGCAGTCCTGGCAGCCTCGTGAAGTTTCTTGCTTTTGTTTGCAGCAAAGAACAAGCTTTGGTAAGATGGCATGGCATAGAAGCAAGTATGGTCCTCAAGACAGGAGTTCAGTAGTGGTTTCAGTGATCCCAAAGTATAGCACTGGCGAGTGAGGCACTGGCTAGCCAGAAACCAGCAAGTTGGGCAACACTAAACCATTTTTATTTTGGGCAGGACAGGTGGAAGTCTGTAAGTCCAAGGCACTGTCAACAGAATGAAGAGATTGCCCAATGGAAGGAGATTTTAGAACTGTGACTACTTATTTTATTTTTTTTTTTATTTGTTCTTAGTTTCTTCCATTTTTCTAGCATTTTCTATTAGCTGTGTAAGTTATTGTCGCTACCCGGAGCGCCCCAGCCAGCGTTTCTCTCAGTAATGCCGTCTCTGATGTCCATTCCTGTGCATCCTGCATCTGTAGACTTCGTGCTTCAGCACTCTCCTGGCTGGAGCCAACCCTCCCTCCTACTGCCAGCCGAGGGAAAGGGTGAAGGCGATAGCCTTAGGGATACCAGGCTTGTTTAAACTAAGCCCTCATTATCTGGCAGAAAGGAGAAGGAGCATAAATCAAAGTTGAAGCTGTGACTGACTATGCAAAAAAAAATCATATGACTGCAGCATCCTCGTGATTGTCGCTTTTTTGTTGTTATTAAATCAACTACATTCCCAGTGGAAATGTCAAGTTTCGACGCCATTCACAATTATTTTTTAAACCATGTGGGACATTAACTTTAATTGCACTCCTTTGTTTCCAGGTTGTTGATCCTAGAAGTGAAAAGTGACCTTCAAACATTGTGTTTCAGCACTGGGGTCCTGATCCAAAGTCTGCTGGGGAGAAAGGAGGATCGAACGCTTGTTCCCAACAGGGTTTTGAGAACCTCCAGAGGAAAACTGCTGACAACAAATGCCTGTTAATTAAAAACAAAAATTTATCAGCCTAAAAACAATAAAGTTGGTTAGGACGGAGTTTTTTGCCATGTTATTTGATACATGAAATTGTTACATAAATATTGAGTGACACTCTCAATAAGGGCCATCTGGTGGAAATTATTAAACATGTTGTAAATAGACTTCAGGGGCACTGAGGATCAGGCCTGCGGTTAGAGGAATCCAAACCCACCAGGGCTGGGGTAATGACTAAAAGGTGCCTTTACTGCGACGCTCTGGTCCTTTGCGTTCCCCCTTCTCAGCTCTTGGGCCTTAGACTACACATTCCTGGAGGGCTGACACGGAAAATGTTTGGATCCGCTTGTGCTGTGGCTGCAGCTGACAGCGTTAGCAAGAAAAGAGGAGAGGAGAAAGCCATATAAGAAGGGAAGAAAGAGCTAGGGGGAACAGAGATGTAAAAGGAGTGAAGAGAAGAATAAAAAAGCCAAGGAAAAGTATGAGAAGGGAAGACTGATGGGACCATCTGAAAACTGAAACTTCTCCAAGCGTCCCAGCCGTAGCTGTCTGTCTGAAAATGAGTCCATCTGAAACACTGAAGAGTTGCTTGGAACTGGTTGATCATCACCAGATCTTAAATTAACTTTACAGGTTTTTACATTATTATTCTTGGTCTCTGAGAAACAGCCTCACAGTTGAAAAAAAATGAACTGAATTGTGCAGCTGTAAAAAAGAAAAGATTTAAAATATATCCTAAATATTCTCCTAGCAAAGAAACACACATTCAGAGAGATTTAGGGCTTAATCTGACAAAGAAGTGGGTGAGTAGGAAGTGCGTGGTACTTCACAGCTTTAGTGCCTCAGTTATTAAAGCTCATTGAGGAGATACACATCTCTGCTACCTGAAGGCCTGTCAGATGACAGGGTGTGAGCACATCATGTGTACCTGCATGTCTAGATTGTGACAGAGCTGGCACTTTTGCACTGCTATTGCAGTGCCATCGCCGCAACACAAGTTACAGGAATTGTTAATCACAGGAACCTTAAAAAAAAAAGGAAGAAAGAACAAAAAAAAAAGGAGAAGGGATTTGAAGAATAAACTTGACTTTTGGCCAAGCCAGCAAAGGAAAATGAGAAGATCTCGTTTTGGCAACCAGGTGCTTTTAGGTAAATGCTGCCTGCCATTACTAGTAGTGTCTTGAGGGAACTCTGCTTAAGGCTGGACAAATTCCCTTTCTGGGAAGAAATCATTTGTGTCTCACTTCACGTGGGGCAGTGGCCATCAGCTGACTGACCCGGCACGTAAACAAAACTATGTTAGCAGTCTGCAGTTTTCCTTGTTGTACAGGGGAAAAAAAAGCTCTACAAGAACTCCTGATCAGTTTATGACACCATCCAGCTCAGTTTCTCACTGAAAAACAAATTAACCCTTCCAGCTGGACAAGCAGGCTTTTAGTAATTCCAGTGTTTTCATTCTTTGCTTTTGTGGTGGCTAAAGCTACGCAGTTTACCATTTTTTATGGGAAAGTATTTCCTTATGGTCATACTTTTCTCCAAATTTCTGTGTTGGGGTTGATGTTTCCAAGCATGGCACATGACCACAGCATATAATTCTGCAGGGTTAAGTGGTTTTTTTTGTGATAAAGGTAATTTTTGGCCGGATTACCTCTAGAGGGAAGGCTCAAATGAGCATGCCAGCTCTCTGCCTTTGTACAGGTGTCTCTCTGTTGGTCTCTCCCTGTGAGCGCTGAACTCACTGCTCCGTCACAGCCCTGGGTGTGACAGAGTGCCCCACAGCGCCTTGTGAAAGCAGCTTCTGGGGAAGGCAGGGGAACCCAAAAAGTTGTCTGCAGCGCTTTGACATCAGCAAATCCTCATGAGAGCTCAGCCTTGAGATACAGACCCATGGAGTGCCCTGGTCCACTCATCCACCCCCTCCAGGTGGACTTGGCTTCCCTGCCCATGGGAGTTCTCTCATTTGTGCGGATGACCAGCAGTGGAAGACAAAGCGTGACAATTGATACCAACCCTGCACCATGCATCTTTTTTTAAAGGTGTACAAAAAAAGCAAGTTTATTCAATGTCTCTAGGCAGGTTTTGCAGGTTTTTTTTAACTATGGTGTCAGTGCAAGGAGAAGGTTTAGCTATCCTGCTAGTCCCAGTGCCCTGCTGCTGTAGCCCATGGTCTTCTAAAGGCTTCTTTAAGCTTCTGGCTCACTCTGTGTGCACCTCAGCTGACCCACTTTCAGTTTTGAAGCTGCCACAGTTCATTTACAGTCTGGACATTGGTTTTACTCTACTACTTTTCTCATACTGATTTAATGAACTGTTAGTTACGTGGTTTATATTCACAATGATTCATCAAGGCACAGTCCTCTTCCAATCAGGAGAGCAGATAGTTGTTGTGAAAGTGCATGATTATGACTGTGTGAGACATATATTTTACATCATGTTATAATGAAATCCATACAGGCCTCCCTGTTGCTCAGAGAGGCTTTAAAAGATAGATTTTGTGTCATTCAGCTCAAGAGAGAGCAACTAAGTTATTGCTGACAAGTTCTGTTTTCTTTAAGAGACATTCATTGATAATTTGGCTTGGAAAAAGAGAAAAATTCTTTTAAAAAAGTAATCCAGGAACAACCAAAGCAGCAAAACCCAACCAAAAAGGTGACGTATCAAAAAGAATATACTTAACAAGAACATCTGCTATGTAGTCACTTTTGTAGGAGGACACTGAAGGAGAAGTAGTCTCATGGCCAGTCTACGCCTTTAAAGCTTTTCTAAGAAACAATATAAACTGAATGTACTCAATTGTACCTTATTCGCTGTCTATACTATGTTTCATTTATCATGAGCTGGGGATAAGAGTTCAGCACAGAAGCTCGGTTGTTTTATGGTCCAGTGAAATTGCTTTGACTGCACAAGAAATAACCTCAGCACTTCGCTGAAATAGGAGTCAGAATAAATGAAAATGCTGGCAGCTGAACTTTAGCATAACGTACTCTTTAATTTGTTAGCAGCAAGAATACAGGCAAAATTCTGCATTTTTTGGACTGTATTGCTACTGACTCATGGCATTAATTCAGACAGTAACCCCTTCCTCAGAGGCTTGACCCAGCACTGAATGTACAGGCACTGGAGAAGGGGGAAAAATATGAA